TATCTTGTTTTCTCCATCTGTAGTGATTGAAAGCTTTGCTGGTTATAGTAGTCTGGGTTGGCATCCGTGGTCTCTTAGTGTTGATACAATATCTTTCCAGGACCTTCTGGCTTTCAGAGTTTCCATGGAGAAGTCAGGCATAATTCTGATTGGTTTGCCTTTATATGTTACTTGGCCTTTTTCCTTTGCTGCTCTTAATATTCTTTCTTTATTCTGGATGTTTGGTGTTTTAATTATTATGTGGTGAGGGGTCATTTTTTGTTGTCCACACTATTTGGTGTTCTGTAAGCTTCTTGTACTTTCATTGGCATGTCTTTCTTTAGGTTGGAAAAGTTTTCTTCTACTATTTTGTTGAATATGTTTTCTGCACCTTTGAGGTGGATTTCTTCACCTTCTTCTATACCTATTATTCTTATGTTTGGCCTTTTCACGGTGTCCCATATTTTTGGATATTTTGTGTTAGGGATTTGTTGGACTTAAGATTTTCTTTAGTCAATGAATCTATTTCTCCTAGTGTATCTTCAATGCCTGAGATTCTGTCTTCCGTCTCTCGTATTCTGTTGGTTATGCTTGCATCTGTAGTTCCTGATCATTTACCCAGCTTTTCTATTTCCAGCATTCCCTCAGACTGTGTGGGGGTTTTATTGTTGTTGTTGTTGTTTCTATTGTCTCTATTTCATCTTTCAAGCTTTGCACTGTTTGAATTGTTTCCTTCACTTGTTTGGTTGTTTTTTCTTGGCTTTCCTTGTTTTCTTTAAGAGATTTGTTTAATTCTTGCAATTTTTTGTTTGTCTTTTCCTCCATTTCTTGAATTTTTTGTTTGTTTTTTCTTCCATTTCTTTAAGGGATTTTCTCATTACTTCTTTAAGTGTCTCTATCATCTTCATAAAGTTGTTTTCAGGGTCATTCTCTCCTGCTTCATCTCTGTTGGGATGTTCAGGTCTTGATGCCCTAGACTATGGTGGCATTATATTGATCTTTCTGTTGTTGACTGTGTTCTTATACTGTTGTCTTCCCATCCCTTCTTCCAGTGGGTACCAGTGGAGTCTCTCCCTCTCCTGGTGGGTACTGGTCCAAGGTTCTCTTCCAGTGGGTACAAGCAGGTTCAATACTCTAATGGCTCTCCTTTTCCCATAGCTGGAGACGAGACTAGCACTGCAAAGTTGGCAGACTTTGGATGGGTTGGTCCACTGGAACGGGTTCCCCTGTGCAAAGTCCAAGAATTTATTCTTGCGAGTGTCGAGCTTTCTCAATAGTTTCATGTATGTCCAAAGATTATTTGGACATCCTCCTGAATGCTAGTCAGCTGGATGGACAAACTGACTGAGTTGTCTTCCCTAGGATCTCTGGCGGCCTTGCTGCTTTGTGCTGCTCAATACCAAAGCCAGTGATGTCAATCTCTATCTTATATCTCATAGGTCATAGGTCATCTCTTTTCCCTGACTGAGGGTGGGACAGGCTAAAGATGCTTTGGTTTAGTCTTTATCACACCTCTCAGTGGTTAATGACCTTTTCATCTGAAGCTCTCTATTCAGGGAACTATTCTTCTATGGCTTCTAAATCACTTCCATTTTTTATTCTATAGTATTAAGAAGATATTAGAAACTGTATGTATTTTCTTGCAGCATCCTCACTTTTCTATTAAGTTTCCCAATCCTTTGCCTCCTGTATGCTAAATTATTTACATGAGCATCATGTGTCATTAGTTGGGTTTCTGGCTGACCTTTCTCTAGCTTGCTCAGGGGCAGTTTTCATGCCTAATGAACAAGAACTATTTCTAAAAGTTGTGTGCTTCAGGAATTAGGAATTAGGGAGAAGAGTTTATTGGGGACAAGATCCACCATCCACACTAGAACTCTGAGCTAGTTTAATTATGTGCCTCAGTTCCCTGTAACGAGTCTTTCTCTGTCCCCCCAGCTCCCAAATAGTGACACAGAGACTTGTTATTATTTATGGGAGCTTGACCTATATTTTAGGCTTGTTTTTAACTAGCTCTTATAACTTAAATTATCCCATTTATATTAAATCTATGTTCTGCCACATGGCTCATGGCTGTTACCTCTTCTCCTACACATCCTGCTTGCTCTGCAAATCCTGGTGTCTCTGCCTTTATTCTTCCCTCTGTCCCTAGAAGTCCCATCTATATCACCTGACTAGCTATTGGTTATTCAGTACTTTATTACGCCAATCACAGCAATATGTCCTCACATGGTATACAAATATCCCACAACAGTTCCCCCCATTACCACTGCAGAACAATGACAGGATGTATAGTAAACCTCATGCAACTTCCGCTGTCTAAGGAAAATTTTTAGATATAATGGAGCTGAGGAGGGGGCTGCATTGGGAAAGCACTTGGACTTGAGTTTGATCCCCAGAACCCACGTGAAAACACTGAGTATGGTGGTGCATGCTTGGAATCTCAGCATGGGGAATTGAAGGCAGGAAGATCCCTAGACTGGCCATCCAGTCTAGGCTAATTGGTGAGTTTCAGGCCAATGAGAGATCCTGTCTCAAAGGAGGGGAAAAGTGTCCTTAAAGATGACTCATGAGGCCGGGTATGAGTGGCCCACACCTTTAATCCCAGCACTGGGGAGGCAGAGGCAGGCGGATCTCTGTGAGTTCGAGGCCAGCCTAGTCTCCAGAGCAAGTGCCAGGATAGGCTCCAAAGCTACACAGAGAAACCCTGTCTCGAAAAACAACAACAACAAAAAAAAAGATGACTCATGAGGTTTTCCAATGGCCTCCACACACACCTGCATGCACATTCGCACACACTAAAAACGTCTTGGCAAAAATCCTATTGATGAGAGTATGGAGTATTATAACTTTCTCAAAAGACAGTTATACGATATCTATTTCAGTTTGGACCGTGAACTACAGTCCCAATTATAAGAATTTAATCTACACACTTGTCTGTTACAAGAAGTTCTTTGTCCTGCCTGGTCCTCAAAGATTGATGTGCAAAAGTATACAATTCAGTTTCTATTTTAGGGGGGAAAGGCCACAAACAGCCTATATGCTCATCAACATGAGACTGGATAAATGCATTTTAAAACAATTTGAAAGGACAGAATGGAAGCACATATACCATAAGAAAATATCAATGACATCTTAAGTTTCAAAATCCATTTTTAGTCCAACATAACTCATTATCCTATAGATTCATTTATAATGTAAGTGTAGAGATAAAGTTTTACAATTGTGTGCATTGTTTGTCCTCCCTATAAAGAAAGGGTACAGGACTAGAGGTAGTAGTCAGAGAAATATATAGTTACCTATAATGTCATGGTGTTTTTTTAAGAGATGACAGAGACAAATATTTGTGTAATTTGAAACTAATTTTAAGAATAAGATAAATAAGGAGGAGAGGGCTCAGTAAAGTTTTACCCTGCAAGCATGATGACACAGGTTTGACTCCCAGGAGCCACATAAAAATGTCAAGCTTAAAGGTTCTCTTTTAATCGGGGCATTGAAACAGACAAGAGAATCCTTGGGGCTTGCTGACCAGACAATCCAGCCAGATCAGTGAGTAGCAGGTTCAGGAGGAAAGTCTGTCTCAAAAACTAAGCCAGAGAATGACTGAGGGAGATACTCAATGTTGACCTGGG